TGACACTGTCCACACCCACACCGTGGTCTGGGCTAACCCACACCAAAAATTAACCAAGAAAATGCACACAGACTTGCTTACAGGCCAATTTGGTGCAGGCATTTTCTCAGCTGAGATGTCCTCTTCCCAAATGACTCTAGCTTGTGTCAGGCTGACAAAAATCTAGCCAGGACACCTTGTAAATAAACAATAGTGACCCTCCTCTCCTCTTCCACAATGGAGTGTCAGAAGGGCCTATCTCCTGAGAGTCTCATCTCACACTGGTAATCGTAACTTTACCTGATTTTGTGAGGGGTTTTATAGGCTTAGATTTTTCACCAAACCTACTTTTTTTTAGGGTTCTTAAGCACCTTTACTTCCCTTCCAACCCCTGAAACCTTAGGTAGATTAGTAGGGAAAAGACCTCTTTTATCTACTTCCTGCTGATAAGGGTTGATGGGTCTTTAAGGGTTAATTACTTGACTCAGTCATCAGGATACCAACAGTCCAGTCCAAAGGGCAACACCAAGCAGCAACACGAAGTCAGTGAAAGCCACAGGACTCACTTGGATTGCCCAGAGAAGCTCTCTGTAATGTTTCTTTCTTTAAGGTCAAGTGTTGAAGCATGAAGTTCAGCACAGCAATGACAATCCAAAAAGTGATCTCTCACTGTTCATGGCCTCTATATATGTCCTTTCCTCAGAGTCCACCCATGGATGTTCTCAGCTGGCCAAAGTCATGCCCCTCACATATGAGTGCTCATAGCAAAACATCATGTCCTCAGCTTGTCACATGACAAAACTCAGTCTTCAAAGAAACCAGAAACTTCCATTTCAGGAATGGCCATGTCTTGTCTGGAAGACAGAGTCTTACACCAACTCACACTGGGGTGATCTCATTTAAAAGCCTTATTCAGTTAGGAGTAGTATAAAAGGAAGTCATACTGTCCAGATCTGGCTCCGTCCCCAGAAGGGAACTTCTTCTAAGATGAGGTCTCACACTGGGCACAGGGTGGTCCCTAAGACCTCTGTTCCTCCATTCTGAATGTGGCACTTTATTCTGAACCTTCTGTTGATATTGTACCTCTGCCCTTGGCAACTTTAGTCTCTTTTACCAGGCACACTTTTGCTGCGGTTAGGAGGCTAGGGTGTGAGTATTTAATTTCCTCCAGTGCCAATTAATATTCTGTGACCACAACCAACCAGTAGAAATTTCTAAAAGGGGATTTATTGGGAGGATAAAGGGGTCAAAAGAAGGAAGAGCAAAAGCCACTAAATAGGGTTTAGCCCTCTGAGGGATTGGTGGGTATTGAGCTCTGCTAGGGGACAATTGATGCATGGGAGTAGAGATTCACTTTCTGGAAGGGGGTGAAGCGCCCCGCCCCACAGGGAATGGGAAACTCTCTGAGGAGGGCAGGCTCTGGATATCCAACAGCTAATGTATTTCTTGGTCCATATTGTTGCAGTGTCTGTAGGGTGGTGAGGAGTGTGTCCACTCCTTGTGGAATCATGAATCCAGTCACTTCCAAGTTTCCCTTCCCTCCTGGCTGTGGAAGGGTGGCAGCTTGAATGACCCCAGAGTTTTTCTCCCTCATGTTCATTCCTCCTGAGGCTGCCTGAGGGGGGGGGGGGCAACTCTCTCCCTCCTAAGACTGGGCTACAAGATTTCTTTACGAATAGTTTATGTGTGACCTAGCAGCATCTGTGATTACTGGGTGGAACCTGGGACCCGCATGGTATCCATACACTGAGGATGGGCTTTTCCTCCCTCAAAGGGTCTGAGGGAGTCTGGAGGGACATGAATACTCGTGTTCTTCCTTCATTACTGATAGATAGGTACATGTGGTGGTTTGGATAGGAATGGCCTCCATAGACTCAGGTGTTTATATTTTTGGCCCATAGGGAGGGGCACTATTAGGAGGTGTGGCCTTGTTGGAGTAGGGGTGGCCTTGTTGGGGGAAGTATATCACTGTGGGCGAGGGCTTTGAAGTCTCCTATGCTCAAGTTGCCCTTCTTGAGGTATAGCTTCCCGCTGCCTACGGATCAAGATGTAGAACTCTCAGCTCCGTCTCCAGCACCATATCTGTCTTCGCTCTGCCATGCTTCCTGCCATGACAATAATGAACTAAACCTCTGAAACCCTAAGCCAGCCCCAATTAAATGTTTGCCTCTATAAGAGTTGCCTTAGTCATGGTGTCTCTTCACAGCAATAAAACTCTAATTAAAACAATAGACATAGGGCTTTTTGACTCCTAAGATGAGCGTTCATGGTGAAACATCAGTAAGGTTAGTGCTGAGTAAAGCCTGTAGGGTTAAATATTTTAACTCCACAGAGAATGATGTTTGGGTCCCGCAGCACTGAGTTCCCAGAATAATGAGTGGTTTGCTCTGTTGATACATTGTTGCTGGCAAAAGTATCAGGCAGTATCTAGCTTTACCAGTACCAAGAGACTGAGCCATCCATCCCAAGACAACAATAGTGAGTTGGGCAGAAAAAGATTTAATCACTGTAACCATGTGCAGAGCAAAGGGGTTCTGGAATCTTGATACCATCTTCAAGAGGCTAACAGGAACTGGAGATTTTATAGAAAAGAACAAGAAACGGGGGCTTGAGCGTTTACATAAGCGAGAGGAGATGGTCTTGGTCAGGTCATTATATTTCAGTTCTTGTTCTGCAAGGGGTTCTGGAGAAGTGACCACCCTTTAACGTGAGAGCAATCTGCTTTCCAAAAGACTGCTCATTCTCCAGGGCGCCATCTTGCTGTCAGAGGCAATGGCTCTCATCTGAGGGGTGATCTGTCTTGCAAGGCTTAGAGGTTGTTCTGGGGGTGGTTTGAATCCCTTCATATAAAGATGTTTATCAAGCAATTCTAACCAGTCCTGTCATTCCCAATACAAAGTAACTGCGGGAGACATTGACTCAGGAGGGAAATAAGTTAAAAAAAGTAAAATAAGTAAAAATAGAGCCAGAGAGGGACAGAACGAACTTATCCCAGTGACTTGTGCCCTCCTTGAAACTACTTTTGTAATTAAGAACATTCAGAAAAGAGGTGAATTGAATAAAACGTTATTCCATGAAACGTTCCCTTTTACTCCCCCTTCTGGTCAATTGGGAAAAATGCATGGAAATGAGAGCTAGCTCACAGTCCTTAGTTTTTGGTTTTGTTTTTTGGCTTTTTGTTTGTTTGTTTTTTAAATCAACAGTTCTTTGAGGTCACCTTGCTCCAGAATGTCAAAGAAAACATGATGAAATCATAATTGTGTGAGGACAACATCTGGGAGCCATAACTGTTTATGAGTATGTGTATGACATATATATATACATACATACATACATACATATATATATTCAAGTGCATGTGTATATGTTCCTGTCTCCATGTGTGAATGCACGTATACATACTTATATGTGTCTGCATAAACATCCCTGCTATGCCTGTGTGAATGTGTGCACACGTGCCTAAGCATATATGCACATAGGCATGTCTGCCTATTTGTGTTGGCACATGTAAGTACATGCAAATGGCCTATGTGAGAATATGTTGCATTGGGCTAAAACAATGAGAAACAAGCACTTACACATTCGTGTGAATTATAGCAAAGACACATTTTGGTGCTTAAACTGTCACGGCCAACTCCTACTTTATGATCATACTTCATCTGATCAGTATTACTGCTTTGGAGGACCGCTAAGATTGAAGCCAAATTACAGAACTATATAAGAAGATATGAAAATCCTGAGTGTGTACATTGACTGTTTTATTTACATACATGCCTCATGTCACCCCCTACTCAGACTGTAGCATCCCAAGGTTTCCTATTGCCTAGGCAATACCAATACACCATATTCTGCACTATTCCATCGTTTCCATGGCATTGAAATCTCTTGTGTACCTGCCATCCTCATGTTAAGCTTATCTTTATCCTTGCTCCAGCACAACAGCATAAAATAAAAATCATTGGATTATCATTAAAATATACCGTATGCTGGTGAAAGAAGAGAGCAGAAACTCTTCCCAAAGGTTGTACCCAGGTCCTGATATTTACTAGCTTTGTATAGAGGCCGTTGTTTTTGTGTGTATTTTTAACGTGACATGAGGGTGACCCATCTGTTGCAGTTCTTTTCTATCTTCTTCACCTTGAACTGGGGTACCGATCGTCTGGGGCCAGCCCTCCACTCAGACAAGTGATGCAGGGGCTCTGTAAGCCAGGATCAGTTCTTGCTGGACACACCCAAAGACACTTCTACCCTGTGTGCACCGCCTGGGATACAGCAGGCCTTGGAGCGTGGTCAGTGTAGCTTCTCAACCAGGGAAGAGGGTAATGGAAGAGTTATATGGAAAAGGGAGATGTGGAGGACCCCGAGCAAGCATCTGGTATCACGAATGTCCCCTCCCCTCTAAGTGGATGCCATACACTCCATTCAGGCCTCACTCCTGCCAGGCCGCATCAGCCACAAGCGACAAAATAATTTGGTGGCAACAGCAGCGTCAACAGGCAAGATTTCCTTTTTACTTTTGATGCTCTCCGGGCAGGCCATCTGGCTACACTGGCATAACTGCATGATCCCACCCAGGGTGAGCACCACAGCTAAAGCTAGGTCCTCATCCAGCTCATCCCAACCTTTCGCTACCAGGACTCCTAGTCACTTACATGCCATTCCTGGACCAGTTACTGAAATGTAACCAGCTTGGAATGGTCAACCACCCTAAAGGAGAGAGGCTAGCATGCTTGTCTTCTGGAAGACTTTCCCCACTGAAGAAAGGCAACAATAATTTGCTAGAGATATTGGCACACTCTAGGGATGCTGTTCCAATGTAACCAATAACGAGGAGCACCTGGGATGTAACAGCACTCTCTGCCATGTAAACACAGATAGGTAGTCAAAAGGTCCCTTTCTACAGAGGCTAACATCTATGGCAGAATATTGACAGTGGAGAGAACACCCAGGCCAGCTTGCAGTGGGCCCAAGGGAATGGTGGGTCACTATTTGAAATTTGAACATGGTAGACTCCAACCCAATACATTTTTTTACATTTATTATTATTGTTGTTGTTGTTGCTCGAATGCGTGTGATGTATGTAAGTTCAGACGTGTAGGCCACAGAGCATATGCAGAGGGCAGGGCACAACTTTGGGGAGCTGGTTCTCTTTCTACCTTGTTGAGGCATGTTTCTACCATGCTGCATACTCTAGGCTAGCTGGTCTGCAAGGTTCTGGACAATTCTCTCTTCCTTCCTATCTTCCCTGAGAATGCTGGGATTACAGATGTGGGCCACTGTATCTGGCCTTCTGATGTGTCTGGGGACTGAACACAGGTTGGTGGGCTTACATGACATGTACTTTTACCCACTGAGTCATCTCATTGACCCCCAATAGATATTTTTAAAAGATTACTTTGTAGAAAGTTAGACAGGACAAGGAAACTTGAAGTATGCACAAAGGAGAAATGCAGACTTTGGGAGGATGGGTAAAACCCCTTGGGGACAGTCTCATGAGCTGCTAATGGTCCTTCCTGGGAGCTAGCATAGTCCCCAGTTTTGTTTTTTTTTTTTTTATTTTTTTACTCTACCTGGAATGAACAGTTTATCACCTAATTCCAGATGCCTGAGTTCCTGTGAGAACCAAGGTGGCCAGCTCCAGGGTCTCTAACAAAGCTTTTCTAGGAAAACCTATCTTCCAGGTGCTTTGCATCTTTAGGGTCTTTCTGGATATCATACTCTCACCACCCCTCACTCAGTTGTTCCTGGCACCTGAACGCACTAGCTGCTTCTGTGAATGGACAGGCCCATGCTTCAATGATGTGTCCGTGGACACAATTTCAGACCCTGGATACCTGTGTTCCAATCCTAGTTCAAGCTCTTTCTGCTGAGGTGACATTGGACTTGGACAGGTCCGTGAGGTTCCCCATGCCTCCATGTCTTTGTTTGTGGCACAGGCGGACAGCACTGATCTCAGAGTTATCACAAGGATTAGATGAATTAGCACGCCTCCAAGTCTCAGCGGATATTATTACATTACAGATACAAACTACACACTTTACCCCCTGTCCCTCTGGTGAACCATCACACACTCAGGACAGGGATAGGGGGTCCTGGGCTACCCTTGGGGGACCCCTGTGATTTCTCCAATCCTCTCAGTTCTGGGTGTCTGCGCAGTGGCAGCAGACTGGGTGGGGAGAGCAGCTGGGCTGACAGCAGATCTGCAAGGAAGGGTCCTCACCCTTGGCTATCTGGCTGGGGCTGAAGATCACAGTTGCATCATGCTGGGCCTTGAGTAGCTGGAGGTCCTTCAGAGCCTGTACAACTTCCATGGAGACATCCTCCATACTTTCCAAAAGATTGTAGTTCTCACCAGGGTCCTCAGACAAGTCATAGAGTAGTGGGGGCTCATGAGCGGTAAGAGGGTTGGCGGCGTGACAGGCAGGATCTGAAGTGGTGTCACTGTGGGCAGAGCCTGGGGAGGGGTCAGCGTTTTGCACAAGAAGGGGCAGAAGATAGAGAGCGGCTGGGGGTCAGCAGGACTCGGGAGAGGAAGCCCAGAAGGGAGAGAGAGTTACCCTGGGTGTAGAAATGAGCCTTGTATTTCCCATTCCGCACAGCAAAGACTCCATGGACCTCGTCTGGGTAGGACGGGTAGAAGAAGACAGATGTCCGGGGGCTCTGAAGGCAAAGTCAGGGTCACAGGGTAGGAGAGATCCCCAAAAGTTCTTGTGTAAGGCCCTGGTTGTGGCCCCCCTTTTGGCCCACCCAGGAACCTGAGACATGGTACTCAGAGGCCACTCATCAAAGGAGACATGAGGCATGGACTCTCCTGCATTGCCCAGAGTCAGACCTAAAGGAAGACCAAGCGTGGGGCAGTGGAGTTGGTGTTAAGGGATGGATTATTGGCCCTACCTTGCCTGTGCCTAGCAGCACGGGGCTGAGGTCAAAACCATCCAAGATGGTGGTGGGCAGTGAAGCCCCACTCAGGGAAGCCAGGGTGGGCAGCAGGTCCAGAGAGCTGGCCAGCTCATGGGTCACACCTGTGGACAGACAGCTGCTTGATCACTCAGGTCACCATCAAGGCTGGGGAAATGGGAGCAAGAGTCTACAAAAAGAGAGGGCCAGTGGACTGACCAGGAGATATGTGACCTGGCCAGAAGGCCACAGCAGGCTCTCGGACACCACCTTCAAAAGTTGTTCCTTTCCCACATTTCAAGAGGCCGGCGTTGCCACCATTGGACATACGCATCAATTCAGGACTAGGACACAGAAGGAAGTCATCAGATGCTGGTGACCAGCGAGCCCTGTCTTTTGAATTACATAAACTTGCCCGTTCCCTCCCTTGCTTACCAAGACTCGTAACTCTGTGTACCTGTGGTCCCTCAGTCTATGACCCCCGACAGATCACTATAACATGGCTAGTATGTTAAAGGCTCTTTCCTTAAGAGCCTTTTATACCAGTCTTCAACCAATAGCTAGGGTGGATGGACCCTGGAGTCCTGGCCTATGACAGTGCAGTGATTATCCCTGCTCTGGCCCATACCCGTTATCTGAAGTGAAGAAAACCAGTGTATCTCCGAGCAGACCTAGGTCCCCCACAGTTGTCATCAAGGCCCCTACAGCTGCGTCCAGCTCCATCAAGGCGTCCCCAAATTGCCCACGGTTTGAGCGCTCTGTGAAGCTTTGTCCACTGAACTGAGGGTAGTGAGTGTGCTGGAGGCAGAGACCAGAGTCAGCACTGGGTGGGCACAGGTCTTGGGCAGCCAGGTGGACAGGGCCAGGGTCAACTCACGTGGGAAGCGTAGTACAAGAAGAATGGTCGTCCCTGGCGCTGGGCATCAGCCATGAGGTGTTGGGAGAAAGACACATACCGGGCCTCTAGTCCAGGCAGCCAAGGGGGCTGGGCCTCCACGGACAGGTTGGCTAGCAATGGGATGGGAACCACGCCTTGGTCACAGCCACCATCGCAGAGAATGTCTGGTGGGAAGCAGGTCAGGTTCTGACAGGGGCCCTGGGGAGAGCAGTTCCAATGAGAGAGAGATCTGGCTATGGGCTAGGGGGCATTTGATATGAGGCTTGGGTGTGGTGGTGGCAGTGGAGGATGGTTTGTACCTGGTCATGGGAATATGGGATGCCCAGGAATCGATGGAAGCCCTGATGTGGGGGCAGGTAGGCCCCCTCTGGTCCCACTCCAAGATGCCACTTGCCAGCCATCCCTGTAAGATAGCCTGCAGCAGCCAGTACCTCAGCCAGAGTCATCTCATCCAGGGGCAGGCCCCCTTGGGAGGTGGGCCCCAGAACTCCAGGGTACATGCCGGATCGAACTGGGAGCCGGCCAGTCAGGAGGGCAGCCCTGGAGTACAAGCCACATAATCCATAATCCCACAGATATGAACACAGGGAGGAACACAGAGAAGGGTGGGAGTAGTGTAGACTTAGCCACAGACAGACAGAAATGGGATGAGCAGGGGCAGAGGTGAGGGTCCCTCACTCACCGAGATGGTGTGCACAGAGACATAGGCACATAGAAATCTGTGAAACGCAGTCCCCCTGCAGCCAACTGATCCAGGTTCGGGGTGGTGGAACTGGGATGCCCATAGGAGCCCAGGTCCCCATAGCCCAGGTCATCAGCAAGGATCAACACGATGTTAGGTGGGCCAGCAGTGCTCAGGCCTGCAGCCAATGCCAAAACGAGGACCCCCAGGGTCCCCATGACGGGGATACAGATGGGCCTGTGTCCTCAGACCCTTAGTAGGGAAGGCAGAGCGATTCCAGCACGTTCGTTCCCTGAGACCCCAGGCCAGCCCCTGCCTGAGGCCCCTGCCCAGCCCTCCTCCTCCCCAGACCCAAACACTCTGGTCTAAAGGCCCACTTTCTGAAGCTCCAGCCAATCTGTCAGAACTCGGGAAGGGGTGCCCTGGGCTGTAACTCCACAGAGCCCCTAAAGGACCAGGGCTTCTTTAGATTCACGCGCGGGGAGATCTGACCCTGTTCACCCAGAAGTCCCAGCACAGGCTTGGGATCAGGAGCAGACGGCACTTCACATTGACCCGGGAGGCACTGGCACGGGATAAGGGCGGTTCAGAACTGAGAAGGAACTGGTCATAGACAGCGTCAGTCTCAAGCCCTCTGGGATACGCCGGCGGTCACGTGACACTCGGCTGCTCGAGAAGGGCGGGCGCTGGGACCGGGCGGTACGGACTCGGGGCGGGGTGGAGCCGGGACGGGGCGGTGCTGGGGAGCTGAGCAAGGCGGGTTTGTGTGCCGGTGGGCCCATCCTGGGTGGGGCTTGTGGGGACCTGGGACTCGAGAGGAGTGGGGTGAGGCTGGGGATTGCTCACGCGCTCGGGACCCTTCTCTGCGCCGGTTGGCGCGTCCGGTGCTGGGCTTGGTAACCTTGAGCTTTATGCTCCTGCGCGGCAGGCTTGGTTGCTGGGCTGTCTAGCGGTGCACCACATCAATTATCTGGCTCCCCTGCTGTCTTGCGCATAGTGCGTGTCTGGAGTTCCTCTGGCGAATGGTGGTTTGTTTGGCCCATTTCCCTTGATAAGACGCTTGAAAGATCCTTGTTTAAAACACCTCAGCATCCCTCTTCTGAATGAGCAAAGCAAAGAGAAAACCGCGCAGTCTGTCTGAAACAAATCAGGAAAACAAATCAGATTTGTTTGCTGGCTTTTTGCTCACAACCGCCTTTGGTGCTTTTTTTGTGAAACACGATCTATCAAATCCTCTCCCTTCCATGAGTACATCTGGTGTTTAAGGTTGAGTGTGTGTGTGTACCTGTGATGCTAGAGGTGGGGTGTGTGTCTGTGGGGTTTGAGTTAGCATGTGTGTGTCCATAGTGTTAGAGGTAGTGTGGTGTGTGTGTATGTGTGTGTGTGTGTGTGTGTGTGTGTGTGTCTGTCTGGTTTTGGAGGTGAGAGGGCTTGTTGGGTGGTTGTGTGGCATGGCTCAGGGTACATTAGTATTGAGGAACTCATGGGAAGACATTACTTGTTTCTAATTCTCCATTTATACAGTCTTGAACTGCATAAACATTTTTTGTCACCAGTTTTTTAAAAAAACTAATTAATGACTTATTTTAATGTTCATTGGTGTCTTGCCTGCACATATGTCTGTGTCAGGGTGTCAGAAGCCCTGGGACTGGTGTTAGAGACAGTTGTGGGTGCTGGGAATTGGACCCTGTTCCTTGGAAGAGCAGCCAGTGCTCTTCACCGCTAAGCCATCTCTCCAAGCCCTGGTCAGCAGTTTTAACTGTCAAGAAAGAATGACAGATCTATCACTCAGAGGGTAGGAGAGTGGACACTTTCTTTAGTGTACTTTAACATCTAGAGGTCCCTTGGTCACTGGACTTCCCAGATCACCCCACCCCCAAAAGCCCCTGAGCTGAGTCATTTTTCCGGGCAAGTCTCTTCCAGGGTATTTCCTTGCAGGTGGCTGTTTCTAGGGCAGTCCCTTGTCCAGATTCCTACACAAGCTAGGGTGGGCCTCTAAGACCTCTGGCATCAACAAGGTCATGACCTGAGCACCCAGGAAGGGTAGACGTTCCCTGGTTTGTAACTCAGGAGCCAGGAGGAAGATAAAAAGGGTCCTGGAAGGGCCTCCTGACTACAGCAGTGAATCAGGAATCAGATTCACATGAGGAGATACGACCCTGTACACCCAGAGACCTAACACAGGCTTGGGTTGGGTCAGAAGCAAATAGGGAGTGACACTGGCTTGAAGGTGCCCTCTGGCAGGCAGAATGAGAGTGATTCAGAATGAGGAGTAAACTGGTCATGGACTTCCACTGAAGCCTGGCTGCCAGGGCATTTGGAATTTTCCTGATGAAATCTGCAAGATAATGGGCACCACGGGAGCAAAGTTTAAATGGCAGAGACCCCAGAGGTGGCACAAGAAAAGGGGGTCTGAGGCTACAGCAGACCTCATGTGAAGTATGGGGTGGGGTTCAGGGGGCCAGCGTGCAGCTGGCGATTGTCTTAGTGTCGCATTCCAGCACGGTTTCTGGGCCTGTGCATGGGGTGGGGGTTGCCAATAGCCCTTCTATTTAGAGTCAGGACAGAAAGCTCTTCTGTGGCCCAGAAATCTTTGAAACTGTAATTGGAGCTCTCACAGCTGGTGGGCACTGTGGATTGTAATTTGAAAGGAATCAACCAAAAGCACTTTCTTCTCTTTCGGTTGCTAGCTGGGAACTACCCCAGGACCTACCCCTTATTCTCTGGAGAGGCAGCGTGGGGTTGTGATGTTATGCAAATTGTGGTGCTTTTCTCCCAGGTTCTTGAGGACTCTCAGGTGAATAGACACATGAAGGCGGCTTGGGCTCAGCTCTGACCTCGAGCCTTGGGAAACTTGGAAAGAGGTATATGTATGGATGCTGTCAGCTCTGTTCAAAGCCAAGCTCTGAAGGCCAGCCTGTCTTTAGAGATGTGAACTCCTTTTTTTTTTTTTTTTTTCCCAACAACAGAGCCCCAGTTGGAAGTAGCCTGCTAGGGTTCAGGAAGTGGCTTCAGATTGCCTGGGGCCTGGGGCATTGCTAATTTTGGACAAACGCCCACAGTTGAGAAAGGAGCCTTGCAATGTGTGGCAGGTCTCTTCGTTTTGTACTGTGTAACACCTTCCCTACCCCGTTGCCTCTCCAGAATGTCATTGGTTTTTGTAGTTGTTGTTTGCTTTTGGCTTTTCCCTGTTCAGTCCTGGCTGTCCTGGAACTTACTATGTAGACCAGGCTGGCTTTGAACTCACAGAGATCCGACTGCCTCTGCCTCCCGAGTGCTAGGATTAAAGGCGCAGGCCACCACTGTCTGGCCATAACGTCATTGTTGTGTGTGGGTGCTGAGCAGGACCAGAAATGATAGTTCTCCCAGAAGAGGAAACATCTTAGGTGAGGACTGAGACCTGATGGAGCCTTAGCTGGCTGACAAGATGGGGCTCTTGGATTTGCAGAAGGCAAGTTTTCAGTTGCGCTATGATCAGGGGCCAGGTTTTGTCATAATCTCTAAGGTCAGGGAGAACCCTGAGAGACCCCTTTAAGCATATACTCAGGGGAAGAACAGGAATTGCTGTCAGCGCACATGGAAACAACCTCTGGTAATCAATCACCTGACCTGTGAGTGCAGGTAGGTAACTAGTTTCCACAAGCAAGTCCTACTGCTACTGTAGTTTCTAACGTTAGAGAAGAATGAAGAATTTGTAAGCATCTTATTAGGAGTGCTGATCCTGCTGCAGCAAAATTCTTTCCCAGGGCTTTCAAAGAACTAAATAAAGCTCACAAGAAGGACATTCTTCCAGCAGAGCCAGGCCCCAGCGCAACCACAATGAACAGTAGATCTAGTGGTCACGGCAGCCAGTGGTCATGGTGTAAATCAGGGTAGCTGTGATAAGGGTGAGTTGAGGTACAGCTACAGTGGTGTGCTAAACAAGTTTAAAGGCCCTCAAAATGCAAAAGCCATCAGACGAGACAACCGGGTCTCTCTGATTGGAGCCATTTAAAGTGAGTATGGGGGGAGAAGACTTGAACACCAAAACAACTGAACCATTTTACAGATCTTACTCAAGGAAGTCTCAAAGAACGGATATTGGAAGAAGGTAGGGCCAATTCAGTGACCGTGGATTTTGGAATGTAAGGGTGGTTGGAATGGCTAGAAGGACTGTTTCTATTTGGGTAACTAAAGCCAGGGTTCAAGAAACCTGCGGGAATGATAGTGAAATATTTCAGGTTCCTTGGTTTAGTGGAGAGAAAGACATCACACACTCAGGGAGTACGTGTTGTGCGTCATCGGTTCAGCTGTCTCCTGGTTGTCTCCTGAGGGGGCCTGGAGGATGCCCCTCGAGAGATTAGGAGGTATACTGTGGATGTGTGTCGAGGGGCAAACAGCTCAGTGGGGAAAAGTACATGGTGTGCAACCATGAGGACCTGAGTTCGGATCCCAGCCTCTCCATGAAATCTGGGAGGCCAGCTTCTACAACCGCAGCGCTGGGGGAGGGGGAGACAGGTGGATCCTGGGGCTTGCTGCCAGCCAGTCTAGATAGAACTGTGAGTACCGGGTTCAGGGAAAGATCCTGTCTCAAAAAAAAAAAAAAAAAAAGAGGAAAAGCTGGGCGGCAGCAGCGCACACCTTTAATTCCAGCACTCAGGAGGTGGAGGCCGGCAAATTTCTGGTCTACAGAGAGAGTTCCAGGCAATACAGAGAAACCCTGTCTCAAAATAAACAAACAAAACAAGATAAGGAGGAAAGCAATAAAGGAAGTCACCTAGCAGTAACCTCTGTCCTCAGCATGTTCACACACTCATTACATGTCATTCACACACATGAACACACATGTGCATATGCACGCAGAATGGGAGGGAGAGCACAGCGTCATCCTCGGAAAGATCCGAAGAGGCTGACTGTGAGGCAGGAATGGAGGAAAATGCAGCCAAAAAGAAGAGTGAAGGAGTGAAGATCTGCTGGTAGACCAGTGGCCACCTGGCTAGTCAGGCTGGTGAGGTCACCTTGACAGGCAAACAGCACTGGATAGCTCCAGATACCTTTGACCCACTGGCTATAAAGTCACCCTAACCTAGGACAAAACAGAAAGCAGCACTGGGGAAGGTGGAAAAGATCTGGGTTTTAGGAATGTGTCCTGGACTTATTTACAACACAATGGAGCAATTCCTGGATATGACTCATTCCTGGATCCGGAGCCCTATATTGAGTGCCATTCCTAAGGGAGACATTCAAGGCCACCCCCTCCCCGACCAGGGGAAATACAGGCTTGAGGCAGAAAAGACGTGACTTAGGGGAAGAGATTCCATGGACTCAGAGGTTATTGGCCTTGGCTAAGAGTTTTATGGCCCTTAACGAACACTGATGGCCTTGAGTTCACTGGCCAGATGGGGATTTTGGAGGTTAGGTGATGTGTCGTGCGTTGTTTTTTGAGACTCTGTCTTGCTATGCTGATAACCATGGTGGCCACAGACTCATGGACTCAAGTGACTCTCCCACTTTAGCCTCCCTAGTATTTGTTATAGTTGAGACTATAGGCTGGGACGTACAATGGACATAATAGATATATGAACATCCTCTGTTAATTTCCTGGTTCTCAGTCTTCTGACTCATACAAAGAGCTTTCAAGCTCTCTTTTTGATTGTTATTTT